AAGTCCAAGTGACTCTTCTGATTCACAATGCCTTAATGAAAGGTGCCTGAACTCTTCTTCAGAGAATAATTCACCTGCTTTCAAACATAGCAGAAGGCAAACACAGCACAGCAAGCTGGAAGGGAACTGGCCTGCCATCACCTCGAGTCATCTGTGAAGGGCTCCCACGTCCTCCCCAGAAGGTCTGTTCTCCCTGATGGCAAGACAGCAGATGCAGACACTTCAGATTAACATTCTTGGGGATCTTTTTGATAACATAAGAGCAGAATGATTCTTCAACAAGGGGTACAGGAAAAATAGCTGGCTACCCGGGCTTACAGATTGCTCAATCCAATTAAACCTTCTGCATACAAGTGACAGCTTCTACAGATAGGTTAGATTCCACATCTACAATCAGACTTTCGCACTGAACTAGCATGGTCATTCCTCTCATCAGGTAATTCAAGTTTCTGGAAGTAACTGAAGCCAACTCTCCCCTGCCTATAATAACAGAGTGCAGCAGTGACACGGAACACAAGAGAATGTGGGAAGAAAAACCGATGTTGGATCATTTATGTAGAAACCACAGATTTACCTTCAGCATTCTAAGGCATGATGATTAAAATTAGCTTGCATTTCCTAAAAAACACTGGTGACAAGGGGACCTACTTTGGGTTTAAAAAAAAAAAAGAGGATAATATCATTTTAAGAAATGTCTTCTAAGTTTGGATCTTGATATTTCCTCTCGTTCATGCCTCCTAACCCACCACATCTCAGGAATCGTGCAGGGGCTTGGAGACAGGGTTGAGGTTCTTGTCATGTTGGTGAACGGACATCCAAGTCAGTAATTCTCTGTATCCTGTCACATACTCCTGCCCACTGCTAAGAAAGCAGAGTTAAAATGGACTTTCAGACTAGAGACAGGGGAGAAGCGACAGGGGGTTGGCAAGAAGGTTCAGTCATCTAAGAATAGCTCAGTGTATCTGCCAAGGTGGCTGCTGGTACCCGGACTTCCTCTCCCCCTTCAGTGGCCTCTGCTTCACACGCTGTTGCTACCAAGTCACAGCAGGAAAAAGGTTCGGAGGATTTGCACTTGTTTCTTGCTCGACACTAAGACATTCATCTGGGCTTTGCTCCTTTTAGTCATTTATTTTTGAGCCAATCAGTGCTGGCTCTGTGTAACTGGAAACATTAGATAAGCCTTGGGCTGCCTGGGACCATGTCTCCTCCACTGTCTCTCTCCTGAGAAGTCCTGTGTTGTGTGGAACAGCATCGCTCATCCTCTACCCTACAAAGTGTGGTGCTGATCTGCTACCAAAACCCAACCTTCAGTGGTTTCATTCTCTTGTTCACGAAGGCAGTGTGACCAATTTCTGGCATTCCTGATGGAAAGGAAGCAGGTGCCAAGTGAGGCAGAGCTGCCCAGCTGGGCCTTCCACTATACAAGCATCATGGTTTCCCTCCTTCCCTCCCTCCAACTACCACTTGGTCCCTGGTGCCCATTCCCTTTCCTACCCAGCAGGCTTGGCTGAGCTTCCTCTGCTCATCCTGAGAACACACATCTTGTTGTATGAAGGAAGCTGGGGCTAAGCAGCAGGCCCCGGGGCTGTGAAGACGAGGCGCTGCCAGCCCAGCCCAGCCCGGCATCTCCAATGGCTCCCTCTACCAGCGGAGCAGCCGGGCAAGCACGCTGAGCGCCAGTGATGCCTTCATGCTGTGGCACGTGTGCTCCTACCAGGCCTCACACGAGACCTACTAAGTCCACACTTCATTTCCACAAGATCTCAGGTGAACCACAGGCACGAGTTGCATAAGCGTTATTCTCACTCATAGACCAGGGGCCCGCAAACAGCAATGTGTGGGCCACATCGGGTCAGCTGCCTGTGTTTGTTAAGTTTCAGTGGAACACTGCCACGCTTCTTTATGAACTGTCTAGGGCTGTTTTCATGCTACAGTGGGGGAGCTGAATAGCTACAACAGAGATCGCACAGCTGCCAAGCCTGAAATATTTATTCGATGGCTCCTTACGGGAAAAATCTGCCAGTTCCTATGCTGGAGGACTCGGAGAACTGGTGTTTGCTTTGTAAGCTAGGGAGGCGGGTGACCACAGTGGTCACCATGCGGGCTCAGAGGCAGGACAGGATTGTACCTAGACTCGGACAATTTCTTGCAAACGACAGTGGGAAAATCGCAACATTTGGGCCTCATCTTCCCCAGGTATAAAATGGGGGTACATAACGAATCTCCCTTCCAGGGTTGATGTGTTGGGTTAAATGAGTTCTGTGACATGTTTTGAGCAGAGCCAGCAAATGTTAAGTGTCAGCTGGCACTAGGGGCTTTTACAGTACCACGGGGCCATTGCTGAATGATCCCTGTTGACTATCAATACCCATTCTCTGCTGCTTTCTGGATAGCACCTACTTTTTAGGTGCCTGGCTTCCATGGGGGAAGGGGTGACCACACTGCGGGGGTATTAATGCAAACCCATCACAGATGCCTCGCTCAGCGTCAGCAGCTTGGCCTAGGGGCGGGCAGTTCTGGGGCAAGAGGAAAAGAGAATTCCTGAGCCGCCTCTGGAAGATGCTTCCCTCCTTCTTGAAAGGAAAACACGGGAGCGATGTCCCTGCTGCTTCTGGGCTCTTAGGCCTAGAGGTGACGCCTAGGGCTACAGCAGCCAGGAAGGCAAGTGGTCTGAGGACAGAGCAACTGCGTCTGGAAAGGCAGAGCAGAAAGACGGAAGAAGGCACGCAGGCCCTTGTGTGGTCCCAGAGCAGCTTCAACTTCTGGGGGTCACCTACTCACGTACTGATTTTATGGAAGAAAGTAAGTTTCCCTAGTCATTTAATTGCTGTACAAAAGCAACCTCATCTAGCCAGGAATCAGGCTGACACCTGTTTTTACTCCATACAGGACCTAACAACTGCTGTTGGGTGCTAAGAGCAAAGAAGAACAGTGAATGGGAATGAGTGGACCAGGAGGAGCAAGGGGGTACTCAAGAACAGCCCAGGTCATGCAGATCAAAACCACAGCAAGACATCACCTCACAACGGTCAGGTTGGCCGTTATATAAAAAAGCAAACAGAAAAAGTGTCGGGGAACATTTGGAAAACTGGAGCCCTTGAACATGGTTGGGGCCACTTTGGAAAACGCTATGGAGGTTTCACAAATACTAACAGTAGTAACTACCACATGACCCACCAATCCTGCTTCTGCGCATGTCTCTAAAAGCATGGGAAGCAGGGGTTCACAGAGACAGCTGCTCTCCCACGTCTCCTGCAGCATTATTCACAATAACCAAGAGGAGGAAGCAACCTATATACCCACTAACAGATGAATGGATGAAGAACTTATGCTATGTACACAAAGGAATACCACTCAGCCTTTAGAAAGAAGAAATCGTGCCAACACGCTACAGCAGGGATTAACCTGGAGGACTTAAAGCTAACTGAAGTAAGTTAGCCACAGAAGGGTAACATTGCGTGATTCTGCTTATGTAAGGTATGTACAACAGTCAGTCTGTTTATACAGAATAGAGTGGTGGTTCCCTAATCCACCACTGCCAGCCACGGGGGGGAAAGGGAAATGGGGAATCACTATAGGTGAGTATGAAGTCACTCACGCCCGAAGGACAGCTGGATTTCAGAGTCCTGCTGTGCGACACTTCGCAGCTTACGGTCAGCACAGTGCAAGCTGAATCCGCTGGGAGGCCAGGCTGCATGTCATGTGTTTCCTTACAATGAGTAAACAAAAATCAACAGGTAAACTGAAAATTTTTAAATTGGAAATTGAGGCAGACTTGTAGTATTAATCTTAAAATTTACACATGTTCGTATGCTTGGATTTCAGAAGGTATTTTTTCCTCTTAGCTTTGGTTAAGTCGAATCCTACAAATGTAAAATAAAAATGTGGGTTACACGTGATGGGATACATGTAGTTTCTTGAAGTCCAAACATGCAATGGGAAAGAGCACATTTAGCACGAGACAGAAAGAACACCGCATGCCTCTCTCCTTTTTGATAGAGTTTTATCAGGATGAGGGAATAGGGCTTTAGTCTTATTTGGAACATTAGCATTCTGATGTAAATGAAGAAAATCTGGGTAAGAGCGAATGGAGAAAAAGAAAAATTCTGGGGCTAGTGCAGAACCAATTCTTCCTTGCACGAGCCATTTCCCAGGTGGGAGTACCTTTTCCTGATACCTGTGGCTCTCTCCCAAATGCTATTCTCTCTTCTTGTCTGAACCTGCCATGCAAACCTGGCGAGATCTTCTCAAAGCTAGATGGGTTTTGATTGTTTCCTTGGTGATACCCACTGTTTCCCTCCTGGGTAGAAGGAGAGTGAGGATAGCTTATCTTTTGGGGGCAGGTAGAGTGGAGGTGGGGTCTCTTGCATAACATGAACATAAGAAAGCCCTTCAGGCAGAAGTGTCAAAAGATTCCTAAGAATGTATAGTCACAGGGATTTCATGGTGTGTCAGGTTACTGACTTTCTGACTTTGTGCCACATCGGAGCCAGGATCCTAACAGATTCCAAGCAACACAGGCAGCTAAGTACACATGAAGAAAGGGTGGGGAGAAGGGTACCAGAAAGCAGGGCTACCCACGTCACCTCCACCTACCGAGAAGAGAATGACCCCTGCTGAAGGATCAACTTGAATATGTCCCACAGGGACTCCACACCCCTGCAGCCATTCACTGAAGGTACAGATGCCAAGTTACCTCTGCCTGTGACCATCTACGGTGGGAGACGCTTCCAGAGCCTTGGAACCATAAAGTGAAAACAACCGAAAGTTGGTAAGAATCAACTTTCAAGCCTAGAAGGAACCATGAGACATTGCCTCATTCATTTCTTTGCCTTTCAGTAAGAACAGCACATCTAAGCTACCCAATTACATCAGAACACAATTTATGGAAAACAAAACAAAAAGAAACACCCCCCCACCCTGAAACACACACACACACACACACACACACACACACAAAACACTTCCATAGAGAAGAAAAAGGGAAAAGATTTCACAACTTTTCCTATAAACCATTTTAATTGTATGCTCGTCACCTATTTCAGAGTCTAAGAGAAACCCGGGGTTTGTTCTTAAAGCTCTACCCATTTTCATCAATCTAACTCTGGGGCCCTCCTCCAAGTGGGAGGATCTGAGTTCGGTAGAAGTGGGGGGCTGGGAGGCGCCCCAGGAGCTACAGGGCTGAGGGGTCAGCCAAGTGGTCCAGCAACAGCCTTGAAGCCCCCTTGCCAGCCATTCCGATGCACTTAGTGAGCAGCACTGTCCTGTGACTTTCTACCTGCCTCCTTTGCACCAGCAAGCCTGCCAAATTGTTCCCTCCTTCTAAGGGACACGGTAGCCGGCAGAACACCTCTGCCTGCCTCCTTTGCACCAGCAAGCCTGCCGAATTGTTCCCTCCTTCTAAGAGACACTGTAGCCGGCAGAACACCTCTGCCTGCATCGCTGGTGTCTTAAAGACTAATTAGACCCCGAAGGAGCAGGCAGCAGCAGCTCTTCCCTGCAGTTTCCTGTCAGAGACTTGTTAAGGGAGACCCCTCCGTCCTCTGCGCTACCTACTCTTCGGGCATCCTCGGCTGTGGAGCAAGTGCTTCCTCTTGTCCCTGGAAACACTGCGGCTGCATTTGTAACTTGCCATGAGATTCTGTTGAAGACAGAAGGAGGGCCTCAAATTCAGAACTCCAACTGCTTTGGGCAGGGGGTTGGAAGGAAAGCTAATAAATAAAATCTGTGGTGCAACTCCCTTGCAGGAAAGGGTGTGAAGGGTGGGGTGGATTTACCAGAAGCTTTGGCAGTCTGTTTTGAAGACTTCTGGACAGGAAAAGTGTAGCCACTCAGAAAAGCAGCCTTCATGACATCCTCCACCAGGTCGATGTCTTGGAAAATCCTCAGTGAGAAAACGTCGCTGAGAAATCTCCTCCCTCCCTCTTCTGCTGGGATTGCTGGGAATCCAGAGAGGGCCCGGGGGTCTGCCTTTCAAGAGTGGCCTGGATAAATCTGCAGTTTCCAGGTGGGAACAGAGAACTCAAAAGATTACTTTCTCTTCCACGGAAATCTGGCTATAGTTTTTTTCCTGCCCTATCCACAGCTTGTGTGTTGGCGGATTAGGCACATGTGTGCATGGGGCCAGCCTTTTGGCAAATAATATTAGAAAGGAGGGCAAAGGGGGCTCATTCCTCTACCTCACAGTTTCCTTTTCCAAAGGAGCCAGGATCTATCCACCAGTAACAATCCATACACCACTAAAAAAGCTATGGAAACGGATATGCATGCAATTGGTAAGTACATCTCTCACTGCCCACTACAAATGGAGCAGAGCTGGAGGGGAATTCAGCCACTGCGACCTCAAGCCTTCTGAGCTGTAACCTAGTTCTGGAGGGCACAGGCTTCCTGACTGGTCTCTGGGTGGCTCGGTGACTCCTTCCTTGGTCTTTGTGATTCGTCTATGGCTATGGAGGTACCCCCATCTTCTTGGGGATGCCTGGGGTATTTGAGGCAGGGGTGGCTGTGGCAGACTCCTCAACAGAGGTACTGAGGTCCAAGAACTCCAGGATGATGTCCCCAAGGCAGTAAATCAAATGCCTGAAATAAATGGACAAAATAACTTAGAGAAGGGTCTGGCTCAAACACGATTCTGTTGATGACACTCAATTTCTTGTCCTCATTAATGATATCCTAAACTTCAACAGCTTGATGAAACTTCTGCCACAAAATAAATGCTTTTTGAACTTATTAATAAGGGCTATGGCATTAATAAAGATGAGCAATACTTACAATTGGAGCTTATAAAATTCCATTTCTCTTTCCATAATTACTTTAGCACATTAGCAGTCAGCACTGCTCTTAAAAAACTGTGAAGGAAAATCCCTGTGATGTCAGATTACTAGGGAACTCTGACTATTGCTGTTTCTCATAATGAAGTCATCACAGAGTGTAGGCCATCTTCCAGGCAACAAGGTAAAGCCAGGACCCTGGAGGAGTGGCAGACATGCTGAGGCTGAGTTTCAGAGAGGAGTGTGTGAGCAACCAACACTTTACAAGAGCATTCCACTCAGGGGGTGAGATCTAAGAGTCCACACCCAGCAGTTCTGGTCCTTTTATCAAATTCAAGCTTCACTACCCGGCCTACCACTCCTGATGCCAACATGAATCATGGCTTTGCTATGAGGCCAGGAGCCTATGCTGAAAATCATTACATGGCCTGTACTCCATAGGCCAGGCCGTGCTCCCACAGTGTTCACAGGGGCTGGCAGATATTGGAGAAGCACACTGAACAATTGGATGCTAATAGCATTTTCAGCAGCTCATGTAGGCTCCTGTGTTGAGTTCTTCCAAATACCAATCACGGCTGGTCCAACAGCTCACTACCACATGACACCCAGCTCCAAAGCCTGGCAGGTTTAACTTCGTGTGTGTGGCCCTGGACACCAGACTCTGCAGTCTGGAGCAAGTACCGATGACAACCCTATTCTTCTGAATGTGGGCTTGTCACTTACAGCCCCGAAGACCTCTGAGACCAGAGATGCCTTTAGGTATGCTGATGTTGGGGACAAGTTTCTCAGCTTACCTGTTGATGAGGGGTTGCTGCAGGGACTCCAAGACCAGAATCCAACTCAGCCGGCATTTGTTCACCCCCAGGATTTCTACCACAAAATCTGATGAGGAAAAACAGATGAAATGCTTGTGTTACCACTGAAGTCTCTTCATCTAAGGAGACTGTCTCCCCAGGATCGCTGCTAGATTTGCACAAACCTTCAAAGTGCATAAACAGAGGAGACTTTTCAATGAAACAGAGGAAAGCAAAGCAAAACGTTTCTTAAGTTAGGAGTCTAGGGAAACATGGGTCTCAAGGTATAACTTTGTAATCTGCCACTAACGTGCAGGCAGAGTCGAGGAGGGAGAGGGAATAAGGGTCACCACGACTGAGTGTCCACAGCTGAGCCCACTGCTATCCCCTGGCTACCATACTGGGCAGCAAACTGCCTCTCCCCTCAACAACACAAAGCAAAGCAAAGAATGTTCTCATTCTCAGGCTGTGCCCACCAGTGTGAAGGACCATCTGCCTTGCTCAAAGGTTCAAATTTATCATGTCTCAGCTTCTGCAGGACATGCCACGCTATTCCCTGGTACCAGAACACCGTGAGCTGGCAGAGCCTGAAGTCTTCACCGGGTGGGGATGGTTGAGACCTGCCCCCAGAGGCAGCTCCCCCAGATCTGTCAGATTCTCCTCTAACAGGTAGGGTATGGCCACAGCAATCCTTTGCATTCCCTTGGCATCACTTGAGTGAGGGATCAAGGGATCACAGCCCTGGAGCTGGCATTATGGTCCTGCCAGTTAGGCTTCCACTTGCAAAGCCAGCACCCTATACAGGAGCACAAGTTTCAGTCCCAGTTGCTTTGCTTCCAATCAGCTCCCTGCTAATGTGCCTGTGAAGGCAGAGGAGGATGGCCTGAGTACTTAGGTCTGCCACCCACATGGGAGACCTGGATGAGATTCCTGGCTATTGGCTTTGGCTTGGCCCAGCCTTGGCTCTTGTGGGCATTTGGGGAATGAATCAGTAGGTGAAAGATACCTCTCTTGCTTGCTCTATCTTTCCCCTTTTGTCACTCTGCCTTTTTAATAAATAAATAATTTTTTTTTTAACAGGCAGAGTGGACATTGAGAGAGAGAGGGAGAGAGAAAGGTCTTCCTTTGCCATTGGTTCACCCTCCAATGACCACCGCGGTCAGCGCGCTGCGGCCGGCGCACCGCGCTGATCCGATGGCAGAAGCCAGGTACTTATTCTGGTCTCCCATGGGGTGCAGGGCCCAAGCACTTGGGCCATCATCCACTGCACTCCCTGGCCACAGCAGAGAGCTGGCCTGGAAGAGGGGCAACCGGGACAGAATCCGGCACCCCGACCGGGACTAGAACCCGGTGTGCCGGTGCCGCAAGGCGGAGGATTAGTCTAGTGAGCCGCGGCGCTGGCCAATAAATAAATAAATTTTAAAAAAAGGAATTGCGGTCCTTATCATTTTCCTGTTTGCCAGAGAAATGGTGAGTTAACAGGTTTTGAACCTAGAGAAGTGCATGGTCCTTTCATCAGTGGGGAAGAATGGGGGTAACCGTGGCAACACAGGATGGGAGGGAAGAGCTATCAGTATAGTCAGTCTCATCGGCCCACTTAATTACCTGGCAGGACCTCCATCAGGCTCTGCAAAGCTTGACTCTCAGTAGCCACCTTCTGCTCCTGGGTCCTTACAGGCCGGGGAGACTTGGGCAACACTCCACCTGGCCAGATGGACTCCCGAAGAAGGCGGAGGTACTGCACCCAGCGCTGAGGACATGTTAGGTTAGTGACCTGCACCTCCAGCCACCTGTGGTAGGAGCGAGAAGAAAGCTCAGATAAATCTGAAGGAAAGGGGGCCCCAAGGCAATGGACTGTGTATGTTCAGGTCCCCAGGCCCAGATTCCTATGTTGAAATTCTAACCCCCAAGGTGACGAGAGCAGGAGCTGGGGAAGTGACTAGGGAGGTGACTAGAGGTCATGGTGGCAGAGCCCTCTCGAGTGGGATTAAACAGGCCCAAGAGAGACCCCTCACCTCTTCTTGCCATTGAGGACAGGGTGACTGTACCATCTATAAACCAACCAGACACCAAATCTGCTAGCACCTGGATCTTGGATTTTCCAGCCTTCAGAATTGTGAGAAATATATTTCTATTGTTTATGCCACCCAGTTTTGGGTATTTTGCTATAGTGGCCTGATGAGACCCCAACAGCATGAATCATGTGTGTAATTAGAACTAGGCAAAGAAAGCCAGCACAGACTCATGGGATGCCAGAATCTGCAAACGAGAACAATCATCACAGCATTACTTACTGAGTGTCCACTGTGAGCCATGATTCACTGGGGGTTCTGCAGAACAGACACTAGAAGGGCCGTGGTCTCTGGACAAAGCTGTAGGTATATATCTTTCCAGCTTTCTGCCAGCATCACAATCCTCTTAGCAATGTGGACAGATGGCCCTTGTAGGTTTTTCTTTTTTAAACGCAAGTTTCTCTCCCTCACCACCGCAGCCATATCCAGTTGGTCTTCCGGTCCCCATGACTGGCCTTGAGGACGTGCTCCACCTGTCCTTTGTCATGGTTATCTCACTGACAAGGCCCTCTTCCCTCCAGCAGCTCAAGTCTGTGCTCTGGCAAGCCCTGTTTAAATCCCACCTCCTCCATACAATCCCTGCTGGCCGGCCCCACGGGAAGTGCCCTCCTTCTCCGTGGAGCGCCTCTGGCACTCAGACCTACAGCCCAGGTTTGGAAGCCAGGTCATATTTGACTTTGGAATATGGAAGACTGCTCATGTGCTTACGGCTTTATTTCTTCAACTCAATTATAGTGTAATGAGAGTTCTGCGTCTTGTACTTTATGAAATTTCCAACAATGTCTTGGTGATCAAGAAACATTTGTGTTTCTTATTAAAATGAAAATCTGCCTTGCTTTTTACAAAATGAGTTAATAGCTCTGAGGGGACAGATATGCCAAAACTGGAGTAGAAAACCCCAGAAGGTGTTTCATATTATTCTTTATTTGTGCTTGCATCTTGTCAGAGTGATATGGTCACTAGCTGGGTCTCAAGACTGTCGAGGCCCCTTGTTCTGCAACTGGCACGGCTGCAGTGGCCACAGATGGACCATGGGCCACCTGTCCTCTGCACAGAAGGCCCTGTTTGTATGGCACCACATGGCGGTTCATGCGATTGCTCCTATAGCTGAGTTCCTTGCAGCCTATCCAAGAGCAGAGGGGCTGCCAAGGCAAACTTTATTTAACCTCCACTCTGCCAGACAGTCTGCATTCCACTCAAGCTGGGCATTCCGGTTCTGGGGGCTGAATCCCCCAAGTCCAGGGCTCACAAATGATTCTAAGAATAGGAAGCCTGAAAGGTAACAGCAGGGCAAGAATGGCAGACAGCGATGGAGATCAAGAGCGGCACAAAGCCTTGCTGGCTCAAAATAGCAATCACGATCGTGTTTGTTATTATTAGGGCCGCATCTCCTTTTCACAGGGCTTTTCATTCAGCAAGCCTAAGCCGCCTGATGAGGGATCCAGTAGCAGAATTCCTGCTCCTGTTTATAGAAGAGGGTCACCAGCGGGAGGTGGCTGCAATGACCCGCTCGGGTTCTCTGCCAGGGATCAAGTGACCCAGAGTCTCCCTGCTTCAACTCTAGCCACGTACACTTCTGCACCTTTTTGCTGAGGTGAGCAATGTGTGCCAGCGTCTCATCTATGTGAGCTGAGGGACAGAGGCAAGGTATACATCTTCAAGTTCTCCAACAAGTCTGGAGAATCCCAGCACAAGACATGTTCATCTGGAATTAGTTCAGGCTCAGGTTCTCACTCATATCTGCATATGAGAAGCCGCTGTGCCCTTATTTCTGTGCTCTGGAGCCAATACTGTTTGGGGTTCAATCTCTTGAAAGCCATCTTAGCACCTACACAATCCTTCCTAGACGAAGCATCCTGCCCAACAGCAAATCCGGGTGCTTCTGCCCCAGTTCAGTTATGTCCTACCAGAGAGAAGTCTGTCCACTCGGAAACAACACCAATCTATCCAGTAGGGACAGGCCCTCACACTGCATCAAGGTAAGGATGGGCTTGTTCTCATCCCCAGGGACTTAGGTCCCATGTACATACATTGGGTGCATGAATTTATAAATGTATACAAATCTACAACATCTTATTAAACTCTAAATGAGTATGTTGGGAAGAATCAAAATAGGAAAGGTAAAAATAGCACCTGATGATGAGGGTAAGTCAATGAGGAAAAGAAATCCTTGGGAGTTAAGAAGGAAACTTATCTGACAAAAAAAGGCTGAAACCTTCAGGGAAAGGATGAAGTGCTAACAAAACGAAGATGTTGCAGGCACAGAAACCCGAGGCACGGAGCGAGTCAAGAGGAGGCCCTGGAAGCCAGTACCAGGAATGCAAGGAACAGCATGTGTGCGAACTGGCAGCAATGAGACAAACTTCAGGTTCACAAGATGGGACAAGTTCTTAGGAAGCAGTATCTATTTGCTAGGAGCTGCACAATGTCCACTTTCCTTACTCTTCCACACCCTTAAGGTAAAGGATGCAGACCACATGCTTCCTGAGGTACAATGCTCAGGCACTGCTTCCTTCCTCCCCCCAGAAAACAGAGACTTTCACCAGGAGCTCTCCCAGCTCCAGGCAGCTTGTATAGAGACTAAGTGCAATACATTTTTGTTCACAGAACTGCTGAGATCTGGTGTCTCATCTTGAACAATGAGCACTCCAATCTGGAAGGAAGAAATAAAGCCCAAACCAAGACAATCACTACCACTACTCCCACCACTAAACAACTGCCCTTCCTGGATCTCTACAATTTGTGAGCTGACTTCTAAGACTTGTTTTATTATCACATACAACACATTTCTTGAGCTGGGGATGGCCAGATTCAGGAACATGGTGCAGTTTGCCTTGCCTAACACCTAGACAGAAGCAAATGCCGACAGGTCTTTGATGGCACTAAGGAAGGTAAGGACTTCTTCATCTAATAATCTCTCTCTTCATCCCTCTCTGCCTTTTCTTATTCTACTACCCTTCTCTATACACACCACCACTCCTTTATCTAACTTATCTAACTTTAGTAGCTCTCTGACAAGACCTATCCCCACCAACCATCCTTGACTATCTATTCCACATGTCTCCTTGTCTTCTTGACAGAGGTGGGAAAGTTAAAAAGTGACCTGTGTGCCTATGGCTCTCCTGAAGCCAAAGGAATGGAATTGATGTGTCTGGAGTCCAGTGTATCATGGGAGTTTTTCCAGCATCAGTTTCTGGAATCTACTGGTACTACTTACTATTAGGACAACAGAAATCTAAAATTTCAGACACACACCCACATCCCTCCCACTGTTTATTATAAAAATAATAAATCATTTACTAAATACAAATACTATTGTTTATGTAATACAAGATGCATGAGGTAAATATGCTAAAATAAATAGGGTAGAGAAGAGCCTCAAATAGCACCGGCTTTATTTTCATCACTATTCCAGGTCTGATATTTGATTTAGAGAGGTCTCTTTCAACCATCCTACCTCTGTCCTAAAGATAGAAAAGGGGAACAAAAACCCAAACCAGGTCTGTTCTACAAGACATCTCTCAATGATTCAGAGCGCATGGACGCCTACTAAGCCCAGGGGCCCAGAAATAGCCAATAAAATGACAAATAAACAACAGACAGACACTGAGCCCTTCAAGAGCTTTCCAGATGCCGGGTATGGACGGAGGGTGGCTGTGATTACGGCTTGTTATTACACAGGGAATGCATGTGTATGCCATGTTCAAGGGGATCTGGTCTGAAATAGCCACAGATGGAGGAATGGAGCACTGGCTAAAAAGGAGACAGTTTAATACTATGGCTTAAGATGGCACCTCAAGGTTAACAGAAGGTCACTCCCTACCCAAATAGCAGAGTCAACTCTCACAAGGCAGGAGAGAGGGCTTTAGGGACCATGTCTAATCCAGTTAGCTGAATTCCCTTCACTTCTTTTCTCAGAGAGTTGCCATGGCCCAAGAGAAGAAGCACCCTATGTCAATAGTACTTAACAGGGAAGATAGACGGAGAAGGATAGTGAAATCATAAAGCAGAAACTCTTCATAAGAGCAGTGACAATACTGTAACAAAAATGCCTGGTCTGGTCTAGACTAAAAAAAGTAACCAGTCCATTCCTTCCGGTCTCTTTTTCCATTGAGCTGCGTTTCTGTAATAAACCCAAGGGCATTATGCTCCAACCTCATCTTAACAGAGTAAACACAGTCCAATGAAAAAGTGAGAAAGGAAGACCAGGTTAATGCTTCTACCATTCCAGACAGACCCACAGTGGATCACAAGTACTGATTTATTTTATTACCCTCAGTGCAGGGCTTTCCAGTGGGTACCCAGTAGGTGCTGCTGATGGTCCAGACTATTGTGGGGCTGCCCTGTGCTGTGCAATAATGTTCAGCAGCAGCCCTGGCCCCCCAACACTAGAGGCCATGATAATCAAAAATGCCCCAAGACATGGCCACACATCCCTAAGGACAAAATTAGGTAAGAATCACTGCTTGAAACTGAGGGTCTTTTGTACATAATGCATCAGGCTACTGACTTTCATAGTCACTTAAAAACTGGTTGTTACGGCACAATATTTTTTCAAATTGTGAGTGGGATACATTAGAGGTGATATAACCTGCTTTGTCATTTGTGACATTTAAACAAATCTAAAAGGAAATAAATTAAAATAGAAAATGTAAAGCGCATCTTGTGTTTTGAAACACTTTGTTTCATATGTATATATGTATATATATATCATGCTC